TCTCTCTCTCTCTCTCTCTCTCTCTCTCTCTCTCTCTCTCTCTCCGCGCTATTATATATAAAATTAGAAGTTTAGTTCTCTAAAACTATGTTACGATAAAAAAGAAAATACAAGATTTCAGCAAATGATACGATATAAATATAATGATTCCACAAACATAGAAACTGACAAATTGTAAAACATATAGCATTGAATAATCATTATATACACAATAGCAGCAGAGTTAAACGCGCATTAAAAGAATCTCAAACAAAAATTTAGATTACCTTATTGAATATTGATACATTTTCTTCTAAGCACATGTTCTATCTATTTTAAGATTTTACTATCAAAATTTATTATCAGTTATTATCAAAATACTTTAACGGATATATTTCAGTAATTAAAACATCTAGTAATTCTATTATGTCTAATCAAGCAGCTTTGATCTATATTTTTATTAATGCAATAAAACTTCCAGGAATTTTACTCACAATTTTTATCAAAATATATATTGCTCACAATCGTAAGAACGAAAAAAAATTTAAGTGTTAAAGTGGTCAGTGGCAGTTGTAAACTTAATAAAGGAAAATAAATAAATTGACACACAAGAAATATTGTCATTCTCTTACGTCATTTCTCTATACAAATGTCATGGAAATAATACAATGTTATTTATTACCTCACATATTCTTTATTATAATAATCTTATACATAAATTGAATAATACCATCATGACATGTAACAAATATTTGTAACAAAAAATATCTTTTGAAACTGTCCTTTTTTACTAGCTGTTACTTTTTATCAATTGCCATGTTTCTTTTGCTTCACAATTATAATACAGTGTAGTATTATTTGTGTAAAATTTGCAACAAATTAAAACAGGAACATTTTCAAATATTAGTATTACATCCTGCAAATATAATATTTTATATAGATGAAAACAAAATTAATGGGAAGATCATAATATGAGAATTAATAATTTGAGAATAATAAGTTTAAATGAAAATTAATCATATATGTACATATAAATCAAATTACATATTGCTAAATATAACAAAATTTTTCTTTCTTGATGGAATAATAAACATATAATTACTTGTCAATAAGTTACAAGTATTTATATATATTAAATTATACTTACCAATTCCATATATTTGGTATAATTATAACTTATCACAAGGTTTCAAAGTGATTTCGTCGCCTAGCGTAAGCTCCCATGCAGGCAAAAAATCCGACAATTCCGATAATTAGACCCAAAATTAAAGCTAGGGTGTCGCCAAAGTCAAAATTACTGTAAGCCATCGCAGTATGGAATGTTCCAAGAAGAGCGAATATAAAATAAAACCACATTTTGTTTGTGTAAATCGATGAAAGCGCGGAAGCGTACAAAGGTTGCCTTAAAATGTTTACTCTTCACTCAATTATACAGGCAACCAACAGGCGCACCTCAATACCACTTGCAATGACATAGGAACTTTACAAGCATTGGTTGATGACTTTAAGGAAGATATAAATGTGTGAAAAAGGAATAGGATTGGTTTTCAACGCCTCCATCATAATGGGTCCGTTCCGAATCGCGCATGAAGTGCATAGACTGTGTAATGTCCCCGTTCCTACTAGGGCATTAGGAATGACGTTTGCTTTGTTGTTTTAGGTCTACCTGTCGCTACCTGGGATGTAAGAGCTCTGCGTTGGGATAGGAATACGAATGTAGCGAAAGATTAAGCGAAGAACAGTGAAGACAACCAAATTTGCGTAAATATATGATAGCATACGTTTATTATAGTTATTAAAAAATGATAAAGGAAATATATGCGTAAATATATTCATAATATAATAAAAGTATATATGTATTATATAATATGTGTATTCTCGCGTATATACGCTATATTAACTAAACATACGAGGTGTGGCTATTAAATAACGAGACTGCGCCTTAGAGCATATACTACTGGAGGGAGCGTGCCTTATGCTGCCCGTGTTATAATAGTGTGGNAGTGTGGTCAGGGTGCGAGAGAGAAAGGTAGATTAGAGGTGACAGCTATCTCTCTCTTACTGAACGCTCATTGGTCGATTCCAACTCCCCACTTTTGAGAGATTGTAACGTATAAATGTATACGAAATAACATTATAAAACATCTATAAATAAATAATACATCCCTAATTATGAATTAAAAAGTTTCTGTTGACACGTTCTACTCCCTGAAAAAAGTACTTTAGTTATTGCACAAGTTTTAATATTTATATTTGTGTAAATCTAAATGTATTTATATAGATCTTACTTTGCCATATCACAACTTTCCGAAAAAATAGTTGGTATAGAGCTTTTTTTTAACATACGTCTCATACACATACCAGAGTATTGATAGCATTCTACTGAAAAATGCAAACTACAAACATATGAACTTTTCTTTAAAATCCAATCTTCAAAGTTATCTTTTATTGCATCGCACCATTTATTGTTAATAACTTCATCTGATGGAAATCTAAAGAAAAAAAATTATAAAAATTATTGATACCAAAACTGAAAACGAAAACGTTCACTTAACCTACACAACTTCATTTTTAATAGACTTACTTATAAAAACATAAATCCAAACAGTCAGGATCGTCTTGTCTCATACAACAATTTGGGATGCAACAAATTTTTGACATTGTAATAATTTCAACCAAACAGCACTATTTACACATACTTAAATGTTCAAATATAATAAACGCGTCAAAATGATACAGACTAGCAGACGAGCTGACGAGTTGGGTGGCAATTGAACTTTCGTATAGGCCTTTCTCCTTCTAAGCAAACAACCAATGAGCGTTCAGTAAGAGAGAGATAGCTGTCACCTCTAATCTACCTTTCTCTCTCGCACCCTGACCACACTTTTATCGAGACGTACTACCTCCATTAGTATATGCTCTAAGGACTGCGCGCGCAGAAGTCGTCCTAGAGGGGAAGGGGGGAAACGAATGCAGCGTTGGATAGGTGGAAGTGTTTATTATTCCAATACGAAACCTCGTTTTTATCGCTGTAGTAGTATTTTTTCTATAGAGGTTAGAAACGAACGTGTTTTTTTCTCGTGCCGATAACAATGTGTAATGAAAAACACGAACAACGGATCAATGTGAAATTTCTCGTTAAATAAAAAAAAACTGCGACTGAGTGCTATAACTTGTTGAAAGAGGCCTATGGTGAGAATTCTCTATCTTGTGCCCGTGTTTTCGAATTGTATAAACGGTTTTCTGAAGGCCGACTNTCTAATCTACCTTTCTCTCTCGCACCCTGACCACACTTTTATCGAGACGTACTACCTCCATTAGTATATGCTCTAAGGACTGCGCGCGCAGAAGTCGTCCTAGAGGGGAAGGGGGGAAACGAATGCAGCGTTGGATAGGTGGAAGTGTTTATTATTCCAATACGAAACCTCGTTTTTATCGCTGTAGTAGTATTTTTTCTATAGAGGTTAGAAACGAACGTGTTTTTTTCTCGTGCCGATAACAATGTGTAATGAAAAACACGAACAACGGATCAATGTGAAATTTCTCGTTAAATAAAAAAAAACTGCGACTGAGTGCTATAACTTGTTGAAAGAGGCCTATGGTGAGAATTCTCTATCTTGTGCCCGTGTTTTCGAATTGTATAAACGGTTTTCTGAAGGCCGACTGAGCATCGAAGATGACCAACGTCCAGGTCGACCTGTCTCTGTTTCAACTCCGCAAACAGTGACCAAAATCAATGAAATTGTGCGCGGAGATCGCCGTATGAGCATTAGGATGATTGCTGAGACTGTAAACGCCGATAAAGAAACTGTCAGAAAAATTTTACATGACGAATTGAACATGAAGAAAATCTGTGCGAAGGATGCACAATGCACCTGCCCATAACGCGCTGTCTGTGAAGCGTTATTTAGCCGCTAGAGGCACTCCAGTGCTCGAACACGCGCCGTACTCGCCTGATTTAGCACCCTGTGACTTTTTCCTGTTTCCAAAGATCAAGTCTGTCTTAAAAGGAACCCGGTTCGAGTCGATGGAAGAGGTGAAGCGAAAATCGGCGGAGCTCCTAAATTCACTTACAAAAGAAGACTTCCAGCATTGCTTGGACCAATGGAAAAAACGAATGGAACGGTGTGTGGCGAGGGGAGGGGAGTACATTGAAGGGAAGCATTCGATTGTAGAATAATCTTTAAAATAAAACTCTTTTTCATATGCAGTCTCATTATTTAATAGCCAGACCTCGTATATGTTAAATAGATATAAAGTTATATAAAAAAAGATAAAACGCTATCCGTTAACGATTCCGATGCTCAAACAATAAGTAATATTTTCTAAAAATGGCAAACTTACGCAATGATGAAGGAACGGCGCAATGCTCAGTTAACGCGATTTCTTTCTTCTAAACGCTCAATGTGAAGGCGGTAGAACAAGAACTCACTGCACTACGTGTAATTTGCTTGGGTTGCTGGGAGCGTAATTAAATTGCTCGTTTCCCAGGG